TTCTAGGGGGGGGTATTTACCCCCAGGATTCGGGGGGGGGGGTATTTACCCCCAGGATTCTAGGGGGGGTATTTACCCCCAGGATTCTAGGGGGGGGTATTTACCCCCAGGATTCTAGGGGGGGTAAATAACCCCAATAACCCCCCCTATTTACGCCACTGTATATTGTATCTATAAATTGTTAAAAGCAAATGTGACGACGACGTCGTCCTACTTGAAACTACCTGGCCATCCGCATGTATACCAACATTCACATGGGTGGGTTATATGCATTGCCGACATGTGGACATTCACTCATTACATAACAGAACTGCAGGGAACTGCATGGTAAGTTAAATATGTTTAAAATTATTTTATTGTGACAATAACAATCTATATTTCAGAATTATGTAAACCATCATTCACACTAGACTATATGTCCAGAAATCTCTACTATATGTTTTTTTTTCGGCTAATGTGAATAGTTAATTATTTTTTATTAAAAATGCTTCCCTATTTTTAACTGCTTTGAAGAAAATGCCACTTATCAGGAATAAAATAATAAGAAAATTTTCTTCATTGTCATTTGTTGTATCAATGCAGTTTAAACAAACTTCTTCATAATCAATTATTTTTCTATTATCATTACTATGTCATTTTTTTTTTGGTTGGTTTTAACTTTTCTATATCATTGTTAAAATTTACTGAAGTGTGACTGCGGTCAGTAAACGTATTCAGGGAATTTCTAATTCATATTTATTATATATCTATGATAAATATTAAATAATAAGTGGTAAGCGATTATATCAAAACAATGAAGACGACTTTCGATTTCAATGTTGATTTACTGCACCAAGCTTTAAAGCAGCAAAAATACACATAAGCATGGAAACAAAGAGAAGCTGTCAAAGAGCTTCTTTCTGATTACTTGTAAACTTGTAATTCGGAAATAGCTTGTATGTAAACAATCAGAACTTAAATAAAAAAGTCGTCTCCATTGTATTGATATAATCATCTACCACCGTCTAGTTTATAGCAGAATATCATAGAAATAGAATATATTGTTCATTTATGCATAATTGTATAAATTTTGTTTCATAATAGTTTTTATTATACTTCTATTATATATTGTAAAGTTTATTTTTATTAATTTTTGGTTTTTGTTTTGTTTAGGATGTGAACTAAGGGATAATGCTAGTTTTAGAGTATATAGCAGAGCTGTTATATTTGAATTTGTATTTTGAAGTAAAAGATGGAATAATATTGTTTACTATTCGCATGTTATGATAAAATAGTTCTGGGCTAAGATAAGGATTAAGCGCGTCCAACTGAAGTTAACTGCAAGTAATATACATATTTTGTTTTCAATCAAATTCTTCTTATAATAAAGCTATTAAGAAGAATCAAAATGTTTTGAATTTCTAATGTAACCGGAAAAAAATAATTTTACTTTGGCGATAAATGAAAACTAGAGGAGCAACGCGGTCACAAAGTAGTACCAGTAATGTAGTATAATTTGACATTCTCCCTCTGTCTAGTTTGCAGTGTAAGCTGTTAGCCAGGGAATAGGAATAAAGGGAAAGGAAATGGCGCTGGTCTGGCATTAGAAAGCCAGTCGCACTGCTTTGCAGACAAGTTCGGTATTACACACACTCTTTTGGTACAGACACACGACTACGTCAAGGAAATTGCAGAACAATGTTGTCAATTATAATTAAGCTTGAATAACGAGTAGTTTATTGTAAACTTTAATTAAATTATATTCTTTGCATGAAAATTTGATTTTATAGTGGAGACTTAAATATGTAAATAATATGTTACATGCAGATTAAACTCATTTTTATGTAAACAATTAACAATAAATAAATGTACCCTCCTAGACTGTACAAATACCGAGATTTTTACTTAATTTGTATAAACCTACAGTACACACCTTTCGTTCGGTAAACTTTACACACACTCTTTTGGCACAGACACACTTAAACATGACGTTTCCGCCCACTGCTGTTAGCGTATAGATTAAAATATATTTATTTTTCAAATATAAACATCGAATGATATTGTTTACTTGTCAATAAAATATTCTATTTCTAATTTTAAGGGCATTGATAAGTATTTAAGCTGATGCTTATTATGCAAGTTTTAAAGTATTAGCTGTTAGCGTCTACATTTATGTAAATATGTTTTTTTTAAATATAAAAATCGAATAATATTGTTTACTTGTCAATAAAATATTCTATTCCTTGGCCTAAATAAGGACACTGCTAAGTATTTAAGCTTAAATGCATTATGCAAGTTGTTGAGGATTAGGATTTAGTTCAGCGTATCTCAAAAAAATCAAAGGAAACATTTATTCATTTTAAAATTTTGTTATGCTTAAAAAGGGGGTGAGGACTTAATTTATTAGTAAATTTTGAAGAAAAATATCGTGGTTTTCCTCCTTGTTCGCTTTATCAATCCAAAATTATTTTTTACAAATGAATTTCAATTGAAAACTAATTGGTTTTTAGATAGCAAAACAAACATTTCCCCATCAACTTGCATAAGGAGAGGGTCACTTTAAATCCCACCAATCACAGGCAGCCGTAGTACATTTGAATTTCCGAGCCGGGTCAACAGTTTGTACTGCATCGCCCGGACATTTGGTAAATAAAGCAGACACTCAATATGACTAGGTTGAATTTACTTTTACTGAAGGGTCAGAGGTGCGTGCAATATCCCCTTTAAATATTAAAAATTTATTTACATTGGTTACCAACAATTAGGACAGTAAAGACGACCTGAAACTCATATAATATCATGATCCCAAGGTTTCATTAACTCTTCTGTCCTGAATATGTCTTTTAGGACAGTTATCTATTTAGTCATATATATATAAAGGGACATCCTATATGTCATGCATATATATATATATATATATATATAAATATAAAGGGACATCCTGTATGTCATGCATATATATATAAATAAAAAAGGACACTCTTTATGTCATGTATATATATATATATAAATATAAAGGGACATCCTGAATGTCATGTATATATTGAATTAAACCTGGATTACCACTCTAAAACTAAAATCTAGATAATTAACAAGTTGTCTATAGGATAAATCTGTTGTAATATCTCAATAAACATGTTGATCGAGTCCATTAGTACATGCAGAAATTAAACCATTGAGGTATTAACATTTGAAAACTAGATCTAACTGGATTTTATAAAAACTAAACTTTTACTAGGTTATACTTTTCAGGGATTCAGGGAGCTTGACGCCTCTTTTTTCTAGTAATAATTTTAGCTTTTAAATGTTGCTCTACATGCAACTTGATCCACTTTCATTGCCATTTCTTTACTCAAAGATGTTGAAGATTTTCCTGTTTTCATTGATGGATTTAAAAAAATTAGAATAAAAAGATTTCAACTTTAAATAAACTTGCATCATACAGCCCCCCCCCCTAACAAAAATTTGAAACCTATCGGTTTTATAGCTAGTTGATGTATTATACATTAAACAATTACAGTATTGGTAGTTTATACTTTAGTTGAATTTTATCGGAAGCAAATAAATTAACAAACTGGAGAGAGACAGACAGACAAGCCAAATATATATATAGATAAATTAATTTATTCTACATTAATTCATCCTGAAACTTTTTGATTATAACAGATATCATTATGAATATAAAGCTACCAAGCTAATCTTATTAATCGATTAAATCTTAATATTTTGACGTATAAACAGTTTATATATATGTTTCTTGTATTCTCAATTTCTCCCCCACCCTTACTATACTTTTATGTCTCCCCCCTCCCTTAATACTTTCCGGAGTAGTTATATTGTACAGGGTTCTGAGACAACTTTACAGAATTTTTTCGCTCTCATTTCTCATATTTGATAATAGTGCCTTGAAGCTGTTAACTTGTTTATTTCTTAGAAAAATAATTAAATATTTAATTTTATATCATCATTAAAAACTCATTTATTGTGGGTAACCCTGTTAGCTTAAAGCTTACATGTCCGGGCCCTCACTCGGGGAAAATGAAAAAGGGAATTTCAAACTACTGTTCCTGTTGCAGCACCCCTCTCCATATCCCGGTGTAGC